ACTTCTTCTTCTTCTTTGGGTGCCGTGTCCGTATTAAGACGTTGGCCGTCATCATGCTTACAATCTCCTGAAACCTTTCTCTGTCGGCTGCTGCGCGAAATAATTCTTCTACTGTGAAACCACACCATTGTCTAATATTACGCAGCCATGAAAGTTTCTTTCGACCAATCCATCTCTTTCCTTCCACTTTTCCTTGTATTATAAGGCGAAGTAAATGGTATTTGGGTCCTCTAATTATATGGCCGAAGTATTCTGTTTTTCTCCTCTTTATGATGTTTATGAGCAGACGTCCTGAGTTGATCATTTGAAGAACATCTTCATTGGAAGTGTGCGAAACCCACGATATCTTTAGGATTCGTCTATAGCACCACATTACGAATGCTTCTAACTTGTTTAGCATTGTGGTTTTTAACGTCCATGTCTCACAACCATACAATAGGATCGACCACACATAACATTTCAGGACCTTCTTACGAATGTTCATTGACAGGTTTCTGTTGCATAAAACTGGTTTCCAGGTCATAAAAGCCTTACGTGATATTTCGATCCTGGATATTATCTCTTCATCAGAGTCACAATTTACATTTAACCAGCTGCCAAGGTATTTGAAATGATTTACCCTTTCTATCTCTTCTCCATTAAGAGAAAGCAGACCTTGATCTATATGGATCTTTCCAACTGCCATCCACTTTGTCTTTGAAATGTTGATTTTTAGGCCTCTCCGATAATGCTTCACTGACTAGATTTAGTAATGTTTGGAGATCTTGTAAACTTTCTGCAAGAATGGCTGTATCGTCAGCGTATCTAATATTGTTGATTACTTCTCCACCTAGTCTTACTCCCTCTTGTCTGTCATCCAAAGCCTCCCTAAAGATTTCTTCAGAGTACAGATTAAAAAGAGTGGGTGACAAAACACAACCCTGCCGTACTCCACGTTTGATGGGTATTTTTTCAGTGGGACTGTCTCCAATTTGGATAGAGGCTACTTGATTGTAATATAAGTATTTCAGCAGTCTTATATCATAGTGGTCAAGTCCTGCTGCCCGTAGGCAGTCGAAAAGTGTATTGTGTTGGACTCTGTCGAACGCCTTCTCGAAGTCGATGAAACAAACATAAACATTCTTTCGGAATTTACAACTTTTTTGTAATAGAACGCGCATACAGAATAGTGCCTCTCTAGTTCCTAGACCGTTTCTAAATCCAAATTGCTTATCACCCATCTTACTTTCGCATAGAAGGAATACTCGGTTTTGTATAATTCGTAAGAGTATCTTCAGTGTGTGACTCATCAAACTGATTAGTCTAAAATCGCTGCATTTGGTGGGCCTGCTTTTCTTTGGTAATGTTATAAACAGTGACTCTAACCAATCATCTGGTATTTTTCCTTCGTTGTAAATTTTGTTGAAGAAAGTGGTTAAGCAGGCAATGCTTTCCTCATCCAAAAGTTTAAGTAGTTCGGCAGGGATTTGATCTAATCCAGGTGCTTTATTGTTTTTGGCTTGCTGTATTGCCTTTTCGACTTCCGAATGCAGTATATTGGGACCTCTGTCCAACTGGTTGTCATAGGCAGTATTTCAGGGTGATCAGTTCAAAAGGTCAGTGATGTATCTCTCCCATTCTTTGCACTGTTGTTCGTGATCACAAATTTTTCCGTCTGCGCTTTTAAGTATGTGAGCATTTTTCTGTTTTTTAATTCCGGCAGTATATTTAAGTTTCTTATGCAGGTTGAAGCTGTCATGCTTTTTTTGGAGGTCTTCTATTTCTTTACATAAATTCTCAAGCCAGGATTCTTTGGCTTGCTTAATTTTTCTTTTTATGCGTTTATTAATTTCACGATATTCGATAATATTTCTATTTTTGTGTTACCGTCGAACTTCCATCAGATCTAGAATTTCTTGTGTCATCCACTCATTTTTTGCCAACATGGTAGGTGTTTTCAAAGACTCTTGTACGTTCTCTAAAATCGAGTTTTGAATGGCATACTAGCATTCGTTAATGGTTCTGTTTTCGTTTGGTATATTTGATATTCTGTGTATTTTACTATTTATTTGCTGTGTTATGTGTTCGCGCGTTTGAGGGTTTTTCAGGGGGTCGAGATATATCTTACAAGGCTTAGTTGGCTTTGTTAATTTCTTCAATTTAATTTGTATTTTGGAGCAGAGTAAATTGTGATTTGAGTTTATACATCTTTAATATTGTTTCGAAATCGGTGGTTTATTAGGATGTAGTCTATTTGATTCCGTACTATTCTGCCTTGATGTCCATCTTGAGGGGATTTCCACGTGTAAAGACGCCTTTCTGGAAGTTGAAACCAGGTATTTGTAATGGCGAAGTCATTTTCTTGGCAGAATTCTATTAGCCGTTCACCTCTTTGATTTCTGTCTCCCAAGCCAAACTTTCCGGTGATCCCCTGCGTCATCTTCTGTCCAACTTTAGCGTTGAAGTCACCCATAATTATTATTGCTTCGTGTTTCTTTGTTATTTTTAGCACTTCTTCTATTTGATGGTAGAATTCTTCAATATTCTGCTCATCTGCGTCAGCAGTGGGAGCATAAACTTGGATGATATTTATATTTACAGGTTTAGCATTCAGCTGTATTAAAATTACTCTGTCTGATATTGGGATGAAGTTAGTGACATACTTATTAATATGCTGTTTGATAATTATTGCTACTCCATTTCGATGCATATGGTCTTGATTTCCAGAAAAATAAATGGCGTAACCATTTGCACTGAAATTCCCTTTGTTTGGCCATCTTGTTTCACTCGCCCCCATGATAGTAATGTTTAATCTGTCCATTTCAGAGAGTAGATTTCTCAACTTACCGGCTTCATATAAGGTTGTTACATTCCATGTAGCTACTTTGTAGGGATTCTTCATTTTCATCGTATGTCTAGTGATGTTTTCCTCACAGGGATTTCGCTGGCTAGCGACCTGGGAAGCCCTGTGGTTTGATTGTGTATTCCTTCCCCTGCCGGATCTTGAGTTCCGCAGCCCATGATCAGTAGTATTCGTTACACTCATTGATTCCATGATAACTTTACTAGGGATCATAATGGGGTGGTTTCCCGTTGCCTTTCCCATCGCAGTATCACAGCCGCTTAACTCATAATGTGAGTGACGCCTGTGAGTATCTGGAATAAACCTACAGGATTTTTACTTCCCACAGCCTTAATCCAGTAATGACATTACTGCTGCCTAATGTCATATCCTCAGTTGATCCGCGGGTACTTATTTGGCAATGCCTTATTCGTACCTGTCCTGCATATCTGCAGGAACTTTCCCTATCAGCCATATGGGACGTGCCGTGTCGAGGTTGAGGACATCCCCCGCCCAGTCTGTCTTCAATGAAGTACAGAAGAGCCCCTACTCAGTTCAGAGCTCCTTCTCCACGAAAGCTAGACCGGCCACAGAATATTAATGAACGGGCTGTTGAAAAAATAACAGCCTATGGATACCTAGGAAGCATAATATCAGATGACGGAACAATTGATTTAGACTCCCAAAGGAAAAAAAAAGATAAACCTGAAAATTAAAATAAGAATTTATAATGAGATAGCATCTATACTACATATTATACTAACGAATCGGGAGTGCTACAGAAAAACATAAAACTAAATTAACAGCAATAGAGCTTACTATACATGCGCCAGCCAAGTTAGACCTGCATACAATCGGGCTGTTTCAAGAATATTTATGCTGCAGACATTGTAGCAGAGAACTTAAAACATTTAACCACATCTTGCAGGTCTGCGAGGCATTAGATCGCTTTTTACGACTATAAAGTGACTGAAAAACACATAGTACCATTCACTAGACCTGTACAAGCTGATACAAGGTTGAATTCTGGAATGGGTATCATGAATGAATGGAAGATTTACAATAAGTTTGACGACCTGTTTATAAGAGACAACTTCCAACAATAGTAGTCAGTAAAGAACCAACCAGATGTAAAATAGAAATTGATGGCATCAGTATTGAACAAGTAATGAAAATAAAATACCTGAGGATTACACTATTTAGCTATGGAGACCTGGACAAAGAAGTGAAAGATCAAGCACAGAAAGCAAATAGACTGGCAGGATGCCTTAATAACACTATATGGCGAAACAGACACATTAACACTGAGATGAAGTCAAGAATTTATAAAGCCAGTGTAATACCAATAATGACATATGTCTCAGAAACAAGACCCGACACAGCCATAATGCAAAGGCTATTGGAAACGGCAGAGATAAGAGTACTAGAGAATTACAGGAAATGCTCTGAGAGATCGAAAGAGATGTAAAGACTTTAGAAGAAAATGTAACGTACAATGTGTAAATGAATGGATACAAAATAGAAAAAAAGAATGGAATAACCACAGAAGCAGAATGGAGGAGACCCGTGTCGTCAAAATAGCAAGAGTTAAGTCAAAAATCGGCAAAAGAAATATCGGACGACCGAGCAAAAGATGGAGTGATAGCCTTCCATAGAGCTACTAATCCGCCAATGAACAAGCAGAATTGCTTATAAAGAGGAGGAAGAACAAGAATCTTCCGAATCTTTCTTCTTCTAGAAGCTTCCGAAAAAAAAAACGGTATGATGTAAGGAATTAATGTTGGACAGTTAAAAAGAAGCAGAAAAAATTAGAGAGAAATTAACACATGCTAATGTACCACTAGCTACGAAGGACCCAGAAGAAACCTGGAAAAATACAAAGATATGGGTCATCGCGGCTATCAGCAAATCCCAAATAAAATCCAGAAAGAAAAACACATTGGATGACTGATGAGACCCTGATCCTTGTAGAAGATTGGCCTATAAATTTAGAACAGAAAGATACAGAAATAGCCAATATTAATAAACTTCTAAAACTGCGATGAAGAAGAGATAACATAATTACATGAGTCAATTCATTTTACTAAAAGTTATAACTAGATGTGTTAATTTTTTTTTTTATTTTTTATAAAGCATTTAATACCCTATATCTTTATAAAATTCTTTTAATTCTTTCTAGATCGTGGTGATAGTCAACAAGCAGATAGTGAAATGACCAATGAAGTTGTAGATGTTACTATTCCTGTACAATGTCTAGTCAAAGATAGTAAATTAGAAATACATGTTCAGAACAAAGTAAGCAAATGTTTGTCAACTATTTTTCTCTGCGATTTGTACGTACTACTAATTATATTTGGATTTTTAGTCTGAACTACCTGGTTTCTTTGATCCCGCACTAGGTGAAGAAAAAATGTTACATATTATTTACAACTATCATGATCAACCTCATGAAGTTACTGTAGGAGAGACTGAACCTTTACGACTACCAAAAACTTGTAAGTTATCAATTTTTAATCTCTTAACATCAAAGGAAAAGCGCCCCTAAAAAATTACACGTGAACAGATCCTGATTTCGAACTATGAACGCCAACAAACACAAAACGATCTCGAGGTACTACTAGCCTTCTGCTCTCTCTACTGCTATAGGCCTTTTCATCATGTGACCAGCGCATGCGCAGTCGCCATGTTGAAACAATAGTTTCGTTCTGTTTTGAGAGGTTAGGTATCATTACTTGTTTATTATACTAATAATATCTATTTTTTTTTATTTTAATTAATGATGTCAATCGATTTTCATTATTCAATCATGATTATAATCAATTTTATTAAATAATGTCTTTAAATGATTTATTACGTTCATCATAGTAATAATTGATTTAAAATAATGGTTTGCTAATTGAGGCACTTTTTTCTTTATTTTCGTTTTTTTTTTTTCGATAAGTATACTTTCTTTAGTATTTTGTTTGTCTTAATTATGTATTCACAAGTACTTTATTGTTATTTATATTACTGATCTAACCTAACATGCTTGTTTATAATAAACAGTACGAAAAAAATGGCTGATACTAATGCATGTGCAAAAAAAATTGTGATGAAAATGCCTATTTTAATCTCCTTCGTTGCAGTAGGTAAATATGCAGGCCGAAATATTACTATGGTTTTCATACATTTTGCGCGCTTTTTCTTTGCTGTGAATATATTATTTAATCCCTTTTTGTGTACCTGAAAGTCTTGTATAATGTAATACTGAATATTATATACTACCACTTTATATATTTATCCTTTTCATCATTTCTTTGCATATCCGCTTTTAAACAAGTCTACAGGAACTTTGATTTTAATTTATTTTCCTGTTATCATACTCGCAAAACTATATCTATCAAAGTTATAATTAGAGATAGAGCTAGTGCCCATGACAGTACATCTACGAACCGTGGACACTAAAAATGGATAGGAGCTTTCAAGCTATGGATATATTACTCCATTCTTAATTCTAAAGTTTCCAATCTTCTCCGAGTCTATAATAATTTGAATTGTCAGTTTTTTTAACTACAATTGTTCATGCATATTTTAATTTGGGAATTATTTTTCTACTATTCTTAACACTTAGGTTACACTTAACACTTCATATTCACTTAACATATCATAACTTCGGATTAAAAGACATTATGGTTAGGTTAGATTAGGCTCAATATGAGTGGGCACTTAACCACCCTTCCACTCGCCCTAATAGGTCTATTGTGGCTCATCCCTAGGTTAAAGATGTCTTTTTAGCCCAGTCTTTTGAACAAAGTCTATTATGGCATTAGATAACACTTCTAGGGAGTCGTAGGGTTCTAGTAGATAATGCTCAAATGTATAGGTCTTATCCTAAGCAACCTTGCACAGAATGTGTTCCCTTTCTCGTCACCATCCTGACAGAATCTGCAATTGACACTTTCTGTCAATGTTGTTCATGTATAAAAGCCTTTGAATATTTGAGACCCATTTGTTTGTACGAGTAGTTACGTTTGAGCCGTTCTATCCAGCCCGATATTGTTATTTTGGCTGTGCTTCTTGCCATGCCAACGACATGTTTTAGGCCTATGCATGTTTCTTTTGCCCCTTCCTTAGCAAGTAGGTCCGATTTTTCGTTCCATTCAATAAAAGTATGTCCAGGCACCCAGAGTAAACTTGGTTTGTTCATTTTCCGATCCGAATCAGATTCTGAGGACAGTTCCAAACTAACTTGTAAGTCATTCCGATTCGATTCCATTGTCTTACGTGCTGCGTGGCTATCAGACATAATTTTTATAGATTTGTCCCTGCAGTTCTTCGTGATTAGTTCCTGCAGACACACCTTTATAGTATAAATTTCCGCTTGGAAGGTAGTAGAGTGATTACCGAGGCTTTTACTAAGGTTTAGCAATGGTTTACCTCCTGGTATGTCCCAGTTTCAACTTCTTCATCGGTTTTAGAACCGTCTGTATATTAGCAATGATCTTCCATTTTGAGATTCGTTTTATTCATTCGGTCCTTTCTGGAAAGAGGACGGTAAACGGCTTTTTAAAATTATATTTAGGCTGCATTGCATCTGGTACCATTTCCAACTCTGGGTAATTTTTAATTATCTCTCTAGATTTGATCCAGGTATTTTTCGCCCTGCTTCCTGGCGTATTATACGTCTTCTCTATGCTCCTATCTTCGTCTTCTTCTCCATTCATATATGTAATGGAGGGTGGTCAAGCATGATCTCTATGGGAGCGGTTGGGGTAAGCATTTAGACCACCATATTATTTGAGTACAATCAAATATAACCAGAACATCTGTTTGAGATCGAAACTCCATGTTTTCCACATATTCTTTAACATGTGCTTTGCTTTGCTGGTTATTTTTATCAAATGGGCGTTCCATGTAATCCGCTTATCTAGAATTACTCCTAAATATTTTATATCATTCGCCCCTTTGACAGTTTCTGCATACAGAGCGGGCATCCAGATGTTATTTAGGTTCCGTCTTCTTCTGAATCTGACTACTACTGTTTTACTTGTATTGACAGAGTTTTTCACTGTGGCATCACCTAGTAATAATATTTAATGTTCTTTGGAGTGTGCTGGATAAAAAATTACCATACTTTCCTCTTACCATAATTACTAGATCATTCACATAGGCCTGTACTTCTACTCCCTGTGCGCGAAGGAGCAAAATCAAGTCATCCACCAAGAGTGACCACAGGAAGGTATAAAGCATTCCTCCCTGTGGACTCCCCTTAGCTGTTTTGGGTAAAATTTCCTCTGCTTTCAGGTCAGCGGACCGCTACCGTAGGTAGCGGGTATATTATAAAGAGTATTTGATAGTGTATTCTTAAATTCGCTTTCTACAATATCTAGAAAACGGTTAATGCAATCTCTCCATTATTAATGGAGTGACTGATTTTCAGAACTACTTCGTCCATTGCTGTTTCTGTTGACTTTCCTTCTTGATATGCGTGCTGGTTGCCATTGAGAAGTGATCCCTCAAATGTCCCTTCCTATGTCTATCAAGAATTTTTTCTATTATCTTCAACAGAAATTATGTAAGACTCATCGGCCTGTGGGAATTAGGTAGAGTGTTGTCTTGTCGTCATATTTTGAGTATGTACACTACCCTTACAGTTGTCTTTGGAATATAACCTAGTGCTATGGTAGCCCTAAAGATTTTGTTAGGATGCGCGATATGATCCTTTTTGTAGTAGGGTAGGAAAAGAAGATTCCATCTTCCTCTGGTGATTTAAATGGAGTAGTTTATGGCCCACAATACATTCTCCGGTTTGATGTTTATTGCAGAGAATTCCCAGTCTTCTTTCCTAGGACGTTTAGGTTGTTCTAGGTTTTCAGCCTGAGTTTGCTCATCAATAACTGTTGAACCTGGGAAGTGGTTCTGTAGTAAGAACTCTAGCATTTCCTTTTTAGATTCGGCAAAGTATCATCAGGTCTTTTAAGTAGGCCTGGTCCCTGTACCGGATTCTTGGAAAGACTATTGTGGATTCTAGTGCTGGCACGTAAGCTAGCAGAACCTCCTCCAAGATTCCCTTCTTCATTGTATTTAGTTTTCTTGTAGATATTATGATATAGACACACTAATATTTTTTTCAAAGCTAACTAGAGTTTGATATCTTATGACTTCACTATACTCTACAAAACGTGCCTATTGACATTTTCATACATTCTCCAATATTTTCCTCTCCCATAAGTTTTTGTACAGTAAATGATATTCATTAATATTTTTTTATTTTATTTTTTAGCACATCGGACTAATATTACGTAGTAAAAAGGGCGATTGCATTTAGTGTAAAATTAGATCCCATGTGAGAATCAAAATTGTAGAAATTTTATAAAAGGAGCAAATTGTAACTGTTTTCGTGCCCCTGATATCCGAACTGTTTGTTTTTATTTGATGTTGAAAGATATCTTTTTATAAAATAATAAAATTGTTGCCCAAATATCTTTTTTTATTTCAGTCCATTAATGATTGTAGGTAACTGCATAATGAAGTGTGAAAACTTGAATAAAGTGGATATAATGAATCTTTAAAAAATCAATACAACAAACGTAGAAGGGCCATGTCAAAAAAAACTCCAAAAGCTTTATTCTTAACGATTGTTATCAAGACAGGTCCCGAGAGAGCGTATAAAAGAATAGCTTTATAATATATACTTTTAATTGTATGCATAATTGACATTTGATATTATATTTGAAATTCTTAGCTCGCGGCACCTGGAATTAAAAAAAAAATAATCAAAATTTACCTATCAAACCAACAAAGGATAAATAAGAGTTGCAAACACTAATTAAAAAAGAAGTTCAGAAAAATCAATTATTCGGGCGATTTCAATGGAAGAATACGAGAAGTAATACTTAGAATACAACAAATAGTTAATGAGGGAATTAGTAACTATCTGGATTCTTGTTCTGACTTACTGATAACCATGGTTTTTGTTTTCTTTATGTTTATTGTTAAATCAAACTGTTCCACAGTATCACAAATTGTCTTTAGTAGCATCTGCAGGTCTTTCTCACTTTCAGCGATAATGTTTATCGTCGACATAACGAATGTTATTTATATTTTAACCATTTATCTTGATGTGCACTATTCGATTGATATACCTACGCTAACAGCTGAAATCGAAGGACATGGTCATAAAATTAGAAACATTTCAAACGTCAGACACAGAATTAAAAAAACCATTTTTTACATTGATCTTGAAACTAATTTAAACAATAAGGATATTTATGACATCAACATTTTTCAAAACATGATAGTCCAGTTTGAAGCTCCATACTTCAAACGTAACCTACCACAATGTATGAGATGCCAACTTTATGGTAACACAAAATCCTTTTGTAACAGACTTCCTCGATGTGTCAGAGGTGGCCAGGGTCATCCTTCTAAAGATTGTATGAAAGATAGAAAAACCCCTGTAACTTTCGCACTACTTATGTAAAGGAAATGACAAGGGGTGCAATGTCTACAAGGAGCTCCAAAAACACAAATATCCAGCGCTAAGAGAAAAACAACCACTTGCCAATAGTCAACACCAAACCATGTACGACAACCAAATTTAACCTACACAGGTAACTTAGAGAATACAAGCATCTCAACAACCCACAACACAACACATGCAGATTCAAACTACGCAGATTAAGCCAAATAATCAGACTGATATATACACAATTATAAATAAATTCCTCTTCTTGTGGATCCGTTACGGATGTTGGCTACTAGCATTTCAATTTTAACTTTATTGATCGCAGCTCGAAATAGCCCTGAAGTGGTCAAGGAAAACCACTTTCGTAAGCAGCAGGTTATATCTATGGTCGTTTCGCATTATGTCCAATAAATAAATTAGAACACATTATTATTAGATTAGCAGATAGATTAGACGATTTATCAAGCCGCCTGGCAGCACTCCAATCCAGAATCATTTAAATGGCTGTTATACTTAAACTCGCAATATGGAACGCCAATGGTATGGTTCAACACAGCCAAGAGTTAAAAATGTTTTTAATTGCGAATAAAATTGATATAATGCTTATTTCCGAAACGCACTTTACAGGTGAAAGTTACTAGAAAATGCCAAACTATAAATTATATACCACAAATCATCCTGATAATATTACACACGGAGGTTCCGCCATAATTATCAAAAGTAGTATAAAACATTACGAACTACAGGCAACTAAAATACCGCACCTGCAGGTCACAAACATAGTAATTGAAGACTGGAATGGGAAAGTCACTATATCATCATTATACTGCCCTCCCAAGTACACAATAAAAACAAATTAATTTTCTGAATTTTTTAAATCACTTGGATCAAGGTTCCTAGTCAATGGTGATTACAATGCGAAACATTTTTGTTTTGGGACTCTAGATTGATGAACCCACGTGGCAGACAACTACTTCAAGCAATAAATATTAATAGCCTCAAAAGTTATTCTACAGGTGAACCTACATATTGGCCAACAGATAGAAGAAAGCTTGCAGATCTCTTTGATTTCTATATAACCAAAGGTATAGCAGATAATCACCTAACAACTAAATCATTGGTTAGTCAAAACGCAGAACAAACGCAAGAGATTAAAAGCCGTATAGAAATAGCAAGGGCAAAATTTGTAAAAATGAAACATCTATTGTGTAGTAGAGACCTAAGAATGGATCTAAGGATAAGGTTATTGCGCTGCTACATTTTTACAACTTTGCTCTACGGATCTGAGGCATGGACATTGAAACAACTGGAGATTAAGAAATTGGAAGCTTTTGAGCGTTGGTGTTATCGAAGGATGCTACGAATAGCATGGGTAGACAAAATTACCAATATTGAAGTCCTTGATAGGGTTAATAAGAGGGAAGAAATTGTACAGACAATTAAGAGGCGGAAACTTGAATATTTCGGTCATATATTAAGAGGTCCTCGTTATGGGCTACTACGTTTGATTATAGAGGGCAAAATAAAAGGTAAAAGAGATGTAGGAAGAAGACGAACCTCCTGGCTACGAAATCTAAGGGAATGGTTTAATCTGAGCTCTAGCCAACTATTTAGAGCTGCTGTAAGTAAAATAAGAATTGCCATGTTGATATCCAACCTTCGTTAGAAGATGGAACCTTAAGAAGAAGAACTAAATCATGCTTCGACTTAACATCCGATCACTCGGCAGTATTTCTCACCCCGTCTTCTGAAAAAATTTATTTACCTAGAACTCCTACGCTTTATTCATCAAAAACCAATTGGACTTTATTTAAAGAAAACATTACTAATTACTTAAATATAAACTTATGTCTAAAGATAGAAAGTGATCTAGACACTGCTGTGGATCATCTAACTACATGTATACAGAAAGCGTGCTGGGAATCCACCCCACTAACCAATAATAAACATAAGGAGTTCTATCCTCAGGCCATTACACAAAAAATTGGAGAAAAGAGAAAACTTGGAAAGACATGGCAAAACACCGATCAATAAAGCTACATTTACAAAGCAGCAAAAGACCTGAAAAAAAATGCTAAGAGGTCTAAAAAATCCATCAACTGTAAAACACCTGAGAGATTTATCGCCGTTAGAAGCCACAGATTACACCCTTTGGAATGTTATCAGAAAATTGTTACGACCACAACAACATATACTATCTATCAAAACAAGTAACGGACATTGGGTAACCACTTATAACGAAAAGGCAAATATATTTCTCGGAACACTTGGAAACCACCTTTACTCCATTTCCCTGTGATATTTGGACTGCCCATACCAGATGTCTCTGTCTATTAAACCTTTTAGAAAAACCGAAATTATTGATGCAATACTTAATACTAATAAAAAGAAAGCTCCTGGTTATGAGCTGATTACTGGATTCGTCTTATGTCAATTATCACAAAATGCGATCCTCTTATTAACACAAATCTACAACGCATTATTCAGATTAGGATATTTTCCTTCACGATGGAAAGTGGCTCAATTATCACAAAAGTCAATTATCACAAAATGCGATCCTCTTATTGACACAAATCTACAACGCATTATTCAGATTAGGATATTTTCCTTCACAATGGAAAGTGGCTAAGTTATTTTAATCCATAAAATAGGCAAAACTTTTGAATCCGTAACTCCATATAGAGCCATTAGCTTATTACCAATTCGTGCTAAAATTCTTGAGAATTTTAGAAAACTAATTTTCTCTCTCTGAGAACTAAGCAGTTTTCTAGAAGAAAACTGCTTAATTCATGGCAACCAGTTTAGTTTTCGACAAAAACACGCTGCAGTTGACCAAATGTATAGAGTTGTTAATATCATAAACCAGGATTTGGAGAAAAAGCGCTATTGTTCTGCAGTCTTCTTAGACATCACACAAGCTTTTGATAAAATAAAACTTTTAAATTTTGATAAAATTAAACAACATTTACCATATGAATACCACAGGATATTCAAATCCTACATAACAGACAACATTTCCAGATAAAATACGGTACGATAGTAACAGCATCGAGACCTATAAACTCTGGCGTACCTCAAGGTAGTGTGCTTGGTCCACTCTTATATCTATTATACACGGCGAACCTACCCACTTCTGAGCAGTGTTCCTTGGCAACACTTGCTGATGACACCGTCATTCTCTCGTCACACACAAATTCGATGGAAGCATCTATAAGGTTACAAGTCCACTTAAACACCATTCAGATGTGGTTAAGCAAATGGCGAATCAAGGTTAATGAAAGTAAATTAAACCATGTAACTTTTACAACTAAGCGTCTGACATGTTCACCTGTACAACTAAACAATAAAGACATACCGCAATCTTCAATAAACGAAAACAACTCGGACTAAAATTAAGACAACTTTACTGGCTACTTGGAAGATCTGAACTATTACTAGAAAATAAATTATTAGTGTATAAAGTAATTCTAAAACCCATCTGGACCTATAGCATTCAATTGTGGGGGTGGGCCAGCGAATCCAATATTGAAATCCTACAGAGGTTACAATCGAAGGTCCTTAGGCAGATTGTTAATGCACCATACTACGTCCCTAATGAAGTCATACATCGTGATCTCTCAATGAGTCTTGTGTGCGAATGAAATAAAAAAGTGTAGTGATAGGCATTTAAAGCGGTTAGAAATTCACCTAAATTTTAGTGCGGTAAACGTACTGGACAACAGCAGAGAAGTGAGAAGACTTAAGAGACACAAACCCTTGGACTTTCCAGATAGATTTTCAAAGTAAATTGTTCATAAGAAAACAAATTTTTTTAATATTAATTTTAGTAAAATTTAATAAGGAAGGTACCAGTACTGGAATGTATTCTTCACTCGTGTTAATTTCTTTGTTTAAATTATCAAATTTGATTATTGTCTCAACAGGACAGATCTTTACTTGGAAAATAAAAAAAAATTGGATCCCTTCAGTACAGTTTTCAAGTGCTTATGTAAATAACTCTTCGGAGTATT